CTCTCCTCTCTTCCCCGCGGGGCCCAGCGGCGCAGGCGGGCGGCGGGGACAGGGAGAGCCGCGTTCAGGTCTCCCTGAGTAGCTTTGGCCCGCCTCTCTCTCCCCCTCTCAGCTCGGTCTACCTCACGGGGTTGCTGTTCCGGGGGAGGAGAGGGCAAGCTTCCCCGAAGTCACCTTGAGCCCTGGGGGAAAGGTGGGGTAGGAACCCAGCACTTCTGCCAGCGCCAGTCCCCGGAAGAGGGCTTCTAGAGATGCGCAGCGCGCTTTCCGACGACCATCCGGGAGGGGAGGCTGAACCCGGCACCCTCGCCCGCGCTTCGAGAAAGAGAAGGGAGCCGCGCCCAGCGCCCCCGGCCGCGCCCCTCATTGGCGAGCCTTGGCGCTCTGTCCCCGCCCGGGCACCGCTGCTCCGCGTCCAGCCCGCTGCGCCTTCCCGGCGTACGTGGTGGCGGTAGGGGCTGCTCCGGGCCCGCCCGGCTCCCTGCCCTTCTTCCACCTTTTCTCCAAGACGTACCGGCCCCAGAGGCAAGGGCCCAAGAGCCACCCACTGGCCTCGTCGCCTGCCCCTCAGCGGGGGTGCACCTTCCTCCCCCGGAAACAGCTCCCTTTGGAGGCCAGTGACGGCCCCTTTTCTCTGGCACAGGTCCCACCGTGGGAAGATGAGGCCCCCCCTCTTGCTGCTGCTTGCCCTTCTGGTGCTGCTCGCCACCTTTGCACGTAAGCGGGCGCCAATGGCAAGGGAGCGTAGCGGGGGCCTTGGCAGGCAGGGCCACAGAGTGCCCAGAGGGGAGGGGGCTGGGGAGGGGGGAAGCACCCTTCCTTTGCTGTGCTCTTTCCCTGTGCCCCTGTGGCCGGAGCGCCCCCCATTGCTCTGGGCCTCCTCCACTTGGCTTCACAGGAGCTGAGGCACCCCAGGAGGGGACCTTGAAGGCCAGTTTTCAGGATTGGATGCAGAGAGCACAAGAGCGCATGAGCGCCTTCCGAGCATCAAATGTTGCCCAGCAGTTCAGGTGGGTTGAGAAGCTCTGGCATTTTGGGGGTGGGGAGGAAGCCCCTGGCCCTGCACAGCACTCGGAGGCTGCCCCTAATGTGGACAGAGCGATTTGGAGCAAAAGGCAAGGGGGTTAATCCCCTACGGCTGTTCCTCCAGAGCAGCAGGGGCACAATCTCCCAGGAGAGCAGAGCTGGTAGCTCCAGAACCAGTCGTGGATCACGCTGCCTGTCCAGCCTCCAGTCTGCTTCCAGAGAGCCAGGGGCATCACCTACACACACACACACACCCCAAATATGTCCACAAATTGGTCAAGACTGTGATCAGGGCTCTCATTTCACACTAAGCCTTGGTTTGCTTAGCAAAGCCCAGGGGGCTAGGTTTCCACGTAAAGGCTGCTTCACCAAAATAAATGTTTCAGGCTGCACAGACCCCCTTCGGGCTTAGCGTGAATCCAGCTACAGTGTCTCCCAGCCAAACAGGGCATCTGAGGGGGCCTATCACCTGAACCCCCTTCCTGCCCTTCTCACCCCACCCAACTCTCTCCAGGGAATTGGTCCAGACTGGCATTTCCAGCATCCAGGAGGTGTATGGACATGTAAAGAGTCATGTTTCAAAGCTGTTGGAGAAAAGGGCGGCCAACGCATGAGTCTGGAGTCCCATTCCACACCCAGGAGCCCAGCTGAGCAGTGCCCACCGTAACCATCCTCAGGACCAGGTGCAGCTCTCCTTCCTCCTGCTCCTCTGGGAATCCTCAGCCTCTCCTGCCCCCCCCCCACCTTTTCTGGCCCCTCTCCAGTGTGGAATTTTCCTCATTAAAACTAGCAAAACTTGCATGCTCAGCTTTCTTCCTGCGCGCCGAATGGAGGGAGCATCAAGCCCACTGCCAGCAAGAGTCCAAGAGGGATTTCAGGGGAGCATCCAAGGGCAAAATGCCCAGGGGGCAGCTGACGTCCACGGCTCCTCATCCTCGGAGCAGAGGGGTTGCTCCCAAAACATTGACCCTGCTCAGCCCTGACTGGGTGGGTGGTGCCCAGGGGTTGACCTCTCCTGTGGAGCATGGCTGACCTGCCCTGGGTAGCCCCAAGAGAGCTGAGGGGGAAGCAGGGGGGCCCTGCACCATGGTCCCTGGGGTGCGATGAGCCAGGAAACCTGGGCCTGGGGCCAGGGAGAAACGTGGTTCTGCTGGATCCACACATGCTGCCTTCAGGGAGCTCTGGCCCCGGCCCCAAAACCACTTCTGGGTCCTGCCAAGCCTGCCATTATTGCATGCCAGACCCACCAGCTTGCCCCTGACATTAGCAGGCATGCTTGTGCATGTGTGGCCAGTCCCATTTGTGCATTTGGAGAGCTGGCACAGATTGGCCTATGAGGGGTGGAGCGAGCACGCCTGCACCCCAAAGCACTCTGCCTTCATCCCACCCCTCTTCCAAGCTCCAGGGCCACAGGCTTTGGCTGTTCCTGGCCACCCCACCCTTCCACACCCAGTTGGAGTCATTAATATGGGAGAAGGATCCTTCCCAGCCCCCCCCCAGCTGCAATTTTTTTGCCAAAAAGGCATAGAGGAGCTTTTGACAAACTGAAGGAGGAACCCCCAGCCCCTCCCGCCTCCCAGTTGCCACCCCCATCCCTTGTCATGCCAGTGGACACCCAGCACAGAAAGGCTGTTTAGAGGTCATCATTTTTTATTTGGCAAAAAAGAAGAGGAGAAAAAAGACTAGGAGGGGGACACGAGCCAGGCAGAAGCGGGAGGAGGGTCCTGGCCTTCCTCCGTCTTGGAAAGGAATTGCCCGGTCCCTGCAGCTGTCCCAGTGGCCAGGCTAGGGCAGGTCGCCAGGGCCCGTGCAAGGGGTGGAAGAGAGGCAGTGCTGGTTCAGGCTGAGGGAGCCGCCAAGGCTGGGGCCCTAGGGGCTCTGCTGCTCGATCTCCTGCTCCGGAGCCTTGATGATTGCAAGCAAGGACCTTGCTCTCTCCAGCAAGGGCTGCAGCTCCTTGTGCGCCTTTTGCCAGAGGGGGCTGTATTTCTCATGCACGCTGCTCACGTGCTGCTGCAACTCAGTCTGTAACTTGGTGAGCTCAGAGAGACCCGACTGCTGCAGCAGCTGGACCTTCTCGTAGAACAGCTGCTCGAGCTCCTTGGTGTAGGGAGCTGCGTCCTTGCGGAACTCATCCACGTGGGTTCGCACCTTGTCCCGGAAGCCCTCGGCCACAGGCGCCAGCTTCTCGTGGGCAAGTTGATGCAGTTCCTGGGAGACAGACTTCACATTCCGCAAGTAGTTGGCTATCTCGTGCTGCACGTTCACACTCAGCTTCTGCGCTAAGGGCTGGATCTGGGCCTTTATGCCCTCCACGTCTTTGGCCATATCTTGCTTCAGGTTCTGCCACCCATTATTCAGTTCAGTTATTATTTCTTGCCACTGAGGGGCTACCTGTTCCTTCACCTCTCGCAATACAGTTGTTAGGGTTTCCAGTTTCTCCCCTATATTCAGGCTGTAAGAGGAAGAGCTGAGTCAGAGGCTGCAGGGGTCAGAGAAACTGCCCCCCTCCAGAGTGCCCAGAGCATTTTGAAAAATAATGGAAAATCAAAATACATCTTTGGTTGGATGACAGGAATTAAAAGGGTGGGAAATTGATCTGGCTGAAAAATTGACAATCACTTTGGAAAAAATCCCACAAATTTATTCAAATCTGTTCCCCATTTATTCGCAGTATTAACTATTTATCTCTCTCCCTCTCATTTATAGTTTCCCCCCCCACCTCATTCCATAGACTCTCTCATGGGTACAACAGAGTAATAACAACACTCCTAATAAAAACACCGATTAAAAAACATATATTTAAAAAAATGTTTTAAAAATTATTTTAGTGAAATACAAGAGCCTACGATGAATAGGGATTATATTGTGAAGGGGGGGGGGGAAAGACCCTAAATATGTGATAGTGATTAACTTAAATAAATGTTGAAGCAACCTAATTAACAGGTAAAAATCCATGTAAATATCTATATGGGATTGATTCAGCCATTATGCTTATAATTAAATCTAGGCCATAACACAGTGTCATCTTCTCATTTCTAAAACACAAAGCCTTTTCAAAAATAGCTCACAAACTCATGTCCTGGATCTATTTCTTAAAATCAGACTTTCTTTCCAGTTATGTAGGATTATCCTCTTTATCCCATACCGCAGGCTTGATAGAGCCAAAACTCTTCATGAAATGACAAATTGGATGTTTTGGGAATATAATTCAGGATCACACTGAGATCCTTAAATATAATATTTCTTCCCAAAATGATGTTAACGCATGTATTCATTGGAAACCAAAACAAAGCTATAACAGAACAAGACCAAATCATGTGAATTAAAGAACCTCCAAACACTTTACATCACCAACATAGGAAATTAACATCCACTGCTTTTTAAAGGTTCTTAGAGCAGGTCAATAGACCCCCAAAATATTTTCTGATGAATTAGTTTAATTGTTAAATCATGAGAGGTGTATTTCATATTTCAATTTTTAAAAAATATCTGGATCCACTGATTTTCCAAAATTGGATATTCTAATTCTTCCTTTCACAGATCAAATGTATAACCGGCATTACATCTTTTAATGCTTTATATAAAAATGAATTGTTGGTTGGCTCCTGTTCAAGCACAGCATCTCTTACAGAAGCTAGAAGTGCAGGTACCTCAGAGGCTGCTAAAGCATCCGGCCACACCATTTACTCAACGTATGTTCCAGTTCATATATCGCCAAAGGTATTCTGAAGGTCAGTCAGATTCAAAGCACAATCTCCCAAAGCCTTTAAAACCACCACTGAAAATCAACCGATCTGAAGTATGAATCCCTTGTTGAGCCCAGGCATGCCAGCAGAGTTCCTGTTTCCAAACGTGAGATGCCCCACAGCATTCACTTCTCACGCCCCCCGGGGTCAAAATGGAACCCCCCCTCCCTCAGAAGCGAAAGCCCCAGAGGCCCCGCGGGCTGTGCCACCCAGCGATTCCCGCAGGTTGAACCCTCCGAAGAGCAGAGTCGCCTTAACCGCCCGCGGACGCCGAAGCGAGGGGCCACGTGAAACTGGGCCGCCGCGAAAAGGCCCACCTCCCACGGGGGAGCGCAGAACGGCCCGCGGGAGTCGGGGCTACGCTGCCTCAGGCCCTGTCCTGCCGGGCCACGACGCAGGGCCTCCGGCAACGGGGCAGACTTCTCTCCCTGCCTTCTTCCAATCAGCCTCTTCCCCCGTCCGAACTTTATTCTGGGCGCGGACACCGAATCCGGGGATGGCAACGGGTGGGACTTCCCCTCAAGCAGACGCGTGCACTTGCTCCCAAGCTTTGTTTTGTTTTTCCTCTCTAGACGCGTTTGGTTTTGTCGCTGGCTGCTTTTCCATTTGAATTCCCTATGGGAAAGGCTGGGCCTTTTTATCTTCCAGAAGAAGAATCGCCAGTGTTCTCTCCTGGGCCCACCACCCTGGACCCCGTCGGTCACCCGGGGGCCAGGGAGGAACCAGGATCAGCCTCACCCTGGCAATGGGCCCTTCTCCCCCTCGCGTGGGAACCAGACTGTGCGCAGCCCAGAGGCTGAACCTCCCGCAGGGCAGGAACATGAATGCCTCCCCCAGCCAGGACCCTCGTCCTGCCGTGCTTGCTCTGCCAACGGTCCGCTGGGCACCCTTAGAGGTGGGTGGACAAACACACCAGTGCCCGGTCCTCAGGGCATAGCAATGGCAGCTCCACCTTCCTCCTTCCAGAAGAGTCCAGGGCTGCCCCCCTCGGCCAAGGGGCCACCCAAGCCTGCCTCCACCCCAAGGCACTACTCACTGCAGCTCCTGGGCCATGGCGGAGGAGTCAAACTGGTCCACGGCTTGCTTGACTGCTGCCTTGGCAGACTCCAGGTAAACCTGGCCCATGCCTTGCAGGCGTTCAAGGGGGGTCTGCTGGGGGTCATCGTGCTGCCAAAAGTAGCGGGCCTGGGCTCCTGCAGGGCAACACAGACAGGCATCAGAGCAGACGGCAGCCATCTCCCGCCAGGGTAACCCAGAAGGCAGAGCTTCGCTACCGCGCTCTGTTTGAGCCCTGCAATAGCAGCTATTCTGCCCCCCACCAGGCTGCAGCCTCGCCCCCACCCCCACCTCAAGGCTGCTCTGCCCAGAGAGTCACCTGTAAGGAACAGCAGAGCCAGGATCACGTTGAGGGTCGGCATCTTGTACCACGTCCAAACCTGGGGGTGAGAGAAGCAAAGAGAAGCACTTCACGTCTCTCCCCAGGCCGCAGGAGCCCCGAAGGAGGCGTCCATCTCCCGGGACGGGCAGTGACCCAAGGGCAATAGGGCTGAAAGGCCCCCGTCAGCCTGCTGGAAGCTGGAGGGGGTGCTGGGCCAGCCAAGCTGCAGGGTGGCTTTCCGTGCCCAGACAGCATCATGGCTGGGGAATCAGCCCCTGCAAGATGGCCAGCCTGGGCCCTCTTCTGCCCTGGCCCACCACAGGAGGCCCCATGCAGCTCCGGAAGACAGGCTTTGCCCAGCCCCTGATCCTCGTCCCACGGCCTTTCTTGTCTACCACCCTCTCGCAGACTGAGTCGTTGGCGAAGAGGGAGGAAGAGAACACCCAGCTGGAGCCAAGCCTGGCGGGGTCCCCACCTCTTACGAGTGGCTCTGGCGTCTGCTGCGTTCTTTGCCGCAGGGTTGTCGGTCGAGGCTTTTTATACCAGCCGAGTTGTTTATTGCTGGAGATAAGCAGGAGCTATAAACAGGGAATTCACTCCTGAGTGATGACTATGTGGCGCTTGAGAGTTCAAGGATCAAACACATCCCCAGGCAGGAGGCCGGGAGAACCAGTGACAAGCCGAATGCGCAGGGATCAGGCCAACAGCTGGGCCCCGGGCCAGTTCGCTAACCCAGCTTGGCACGGACCCCGAGCCAGGAGCCTTTGGCAAAAGCCGGCGGCCTGCAGGCCCTGTTGCTTGCAGGGGGCTTGAGGGCCAGCAGTGCCCTCCGGGCCATGGAAAAACTCCAGCTCTCCAAGCAAGCTGATGGGAGGTCGGGTTCACCCAGATTTGGGACAAGGCCAACGGGAGGATGCTGCACAGGCAGCCAAGCCAGCCTTCCTCCTCCTACCAAACCCAGTCCCTCTGCCTACCCCACCCTGTTGGAAGCAGCAGAGTGGCGGCCAACCTGAGCATGGGCTCACAGCTGCAGGTGGCAGATGGGAACTGCACACTAGTGCCCATGGAGGGTGGCAGGCTGGCAAGTAAACGCATCTCTTCCTGGCAGAGAACACGCAATCCAAATTTTCTGGATTGAGGGAGGGATTTTGCAGAGACCCTAACCTGAAAGGATTCAACTGGGGCCTATGCAAACTTCTCCTTTGTCTGGACACAAGAATAGGGGCTGGTTTCAGTTTCCAACCAGGCCTAGCCAAACAAACAAACGGATAGACCTTCCTTGGCCACAACCGCAGGATCAGCTGAGTTTGGCTGGTATGAAGAGCCAGCAGGGGCTGGCACTCTCGCGGTTCTCCATCAGACTTGCTTCCTCCCCATTAACGCCACCGCTGCTCCTGGAGGTTCCACAATTAAGCCTCAGCACTTAGCTGAGCATGCGTGTGATGAACTGCACAGCATAAACGCAAGCCAAGCCTTGCATGGGCACAGCTGAAGAAGCCACTCTCTGCGCACCACTTCTGTCCTTCCACATCTAGAATATGGAGGTATCCTTTCCCTAGAAGTCACGTAGCCCAGCCCA